ATTAGATCTGTGAATAAGTGGTCACTTGAGTTCAGAAAATCCTGGTTTAATGTTACATATTCACTTACTTTAGACCCGGCTTTACCTGTGTCAAATGTTTTTGACATATCCTCAGCTGAATTTGATTCTACACGTGTAGAGTATGATGGCATACAAATATGACAGAGCTCTGAATTATAAGATTTACAATGTAGTATTCAAACTGTTACTATTGGAGTTAATTATATGACACAGGTATTCCCTTGAAAGTGGAATTACGTTTCTTACCAGCAAGAAATACATATTTTGCTAAATTGTTGCAAATACTTTGATTAGTCGAGCTGAATAATAAGGACATTTTCTCACGACTTGGAAACATGTGATAATAAATGGGTATGAGATTAGACCGCAGATCAAGATAGAACGGACACACCATACAAAAGTGGAACTCATCTTCGATAGCGCTTACAATACAGAGGGGACAGAAAGGTTCATATCTTGGTATATTATGGTATCTGCCTGTTTCAACCATAAGACGATGATTGGATCCAAGAAACTTTAAGATATTAATTCGAAATAATGTTACATCAATTAATCGAATCCAGTCATTATATGAAAATTTATCCCTTACTGCAGAGAACAATTCAAGCTTAGAACAAGATTCACAATTATTGTGCAACACTTGATTTTCAATGTCTACGCTCCTTTGCCTAAACTGATGTAAGAATAAGTCAGATCTACCAACACCCTGTTGAAGCCATACCTCTGCAAATCCGTAAGAAAACAGCAATGATTTAACCTTGAGTGCCCAGAAAGCGTTGCCATTCTCTGCCCTTTTATATTGAAAACTATACGTTTTTTCAAAATCAAATTATTATCTTGCATCAATAGTGGAAGCAAAAATTTTATATTTTTTAAATAATGTGACACTTTGACAGAGTTTCTCATCAAGACAGATTTTACAAAGCTATTTGGTGTGTTTCTACTCAAACCCAAAGTCAATTTACAGAATTTATTGTGCACATTTTCAATGTCAGGTGATGCATGGAATCCCCAAACTTCCGATGCATATGTCAAAATTGGTAAAACTTTTACATCAAATATTTTGAAACAGACATCTGGTGGCAGATATGAGAATTTACCTAGTCTAGACTGGAGGATTTGAATCACCTTCCAAGCTTGCTGGGCTAATATCTTCTGAGTTAAACTCCACGAGCCAGAAGAGGATAACTGGACACCGAGATACTTATAATTCGATGCTGTGATGACATCATCATTACCTATCTTAAATTTTTTCTGACTTCTAAGTTTTCCGCCATTTCTAAAAATGACAACTTTACTTTTATCAGTATTGATAGTAAGTTTCCATTTATCACAATATATAGATAGTTTATATCAAGTCGCTTTTGAAGACCAACAACTGACACGTCCATTAAAATAATGTCATCGGCGAACAACAAGATGAACAGTTCTAAAGTATGTAAGGTAACACCATGAGCGTCACACTCCAACTCTTCGACAATGTCATTAAAAAAAAAAGAGAATAAAAATGGAGACAACTGACATCCCTGTCTGACACCTGAGCTACAATCAAAGAAATCTGTAAGACCACAATCTAATGAAACACAAGATTTGACAGCTTTATACATATTTTTAAGAACTCGAAATACTCGTCCCCTGATACCACCCTCGAGCCTTATTCACAAAGGGTTTCAGTTTTTTTCTGACCTTGCGTTCTTCCTCCGTGAAGTCATGGGAGATATGTATCTTGCTACCTTTCAGATTTCGGGAAGAACCTATCACCTGAGATTTGTGTTTTGGGTGTGTGAACGTCACGAGGACTGGTCTGGGTCCCGGGGTTTTAGTCGTCAGTCTTTTTGCTGAAAGCACTCCTACATTTTCATAAGAAGGTTTCAATTTGTTTATAATAATTTCATTTATTTTTTCTTCAGTTTGGTCATAAGTTTCTCTCGTAGTTTCTTCTTCATTATAAAAAATAATGTTATTTCTTTTACTTTGGCTCACCATGTTATTTATTTTACGTGTCAAGTATGAAACTTGTACTTTTAGGGCAGAATTCTCATTAGCCATCGCTTGGAAATCCTATTCAATGCAATTTATCCGGTTAGACAGTGTTAAGAAATTGTCACTGTTACTGGGTTCGGAGATTGGAGGTTTAGGGGTTTGTCTCGTCACTCTACTTGTACCTGTATCTTCTGGGCCGGGGCCTGGGTTTAGGTTGACATCATTACCCAGCTGGATAAGAAGCATAACACTCACGACGACGGCTGCTTTCACAAGCCTACCTGTACCTGCCGGCACGTGCATCATGGCGACACGCATAGCTTGAGCCAATTTCGCTCGGCGACCCATAAATGCGATAAAAGTTTAGGCAAAACTGCCAACACTTCTTCTATACGTTGCTAGATCACACCCCATACTTGTTTGTCATTAGGTTTCAGTACATAGAGGGGTCATTGAAGTAGTATTGACGACTTCTACTGCATTTTCATTAGAGCTGCTGTTTGTGCGTGCTCTCACCTCGCCGCCAGGTGGCGCTCATATGGAATGATAGAAAATTAGTAAATGGTAAAAAGCAAAGAACGTATGGACAATTTAACTGATTTTTATACTGAGAAGTATGTCAGTGCTTCACTTGATAGATGTGAAAGAAGTATGTCAGTACTTCACTTGGTAGATATGAAAGAAGTATGTCAGTGCTTCACTTGATAGATATGAAAGAAGTATGTCAGTGCTTCACTTTGTAGATATGAAAGAAGTATGTCAGTGCTTCACTTGATATATATGAAAGAAGTATGTCAGTGCTTCACTTGATAGATATGAAAGAAGTAACTTGTAACTTGTGATCTTGACTCATATCTACGTTACATAACAAAAATGTATAAGCGTCGTTGTCACACACTTTCTTAATATCATGTCACTAACCAATTAATCCCGTTTTAATGCATAGATGTATATTATATATTTTATATTTTAACTATTGATGTTACACATGTATTCGTGTCTCGAAGGCCAATACTGGTCGGTGGATGTATTTTCATTCCATGCCATATTTGCAATGTTACTGATCTTATGCATCCAGTGACACGTTAATAAAATAGTTTTCTTCTTCTTCTCTTCTATAAACACTAATACTTTACACATACAATGTTCAATAACATTACTAAAACGTTTATAAACCACGCCCCCTGAAATTGACACATCGTTCGATTGCACCCAAACGTCCGCATCGAGCGCTTAGTTATTGAACGCCTATTGAACGCAGGCCCGTAACAAGCGTGGTGGAGGATTTAACATTACCTGCCTTCGATTTATTGTAAAACTTGAGTGACCTGAGTCAGCTGAGTTTACCACATTTCTGGCAACCAGGGTTAACTAGATTCACCCTAAATTAACTAGTGTTAATCAAGGGGAACTTAGGGCAGTACCCAAATATAACGCGTAAAATGCAACCTTGGTTATAATGTCTGCAAGGAAGAGAGACACAACAGCCGTTGCACTTTCTGCAATACATTTGGTAAAAAAAAAAAAAATAAATTTAAAAAACTTCACAACATCAAACGAGATTTGCATTATTGATTATAAAAAAAGTATTTATATCAACAACCGAAAGTTAAATTCCCTTCACGCATATCATAATCCATTGTTTTGAACTCGAACGCAATCATTGTATGTATAATCAGAGAGTCTATATAGGAGGTCTTAGTATAGTCCTCCAGGTATAACACCACGATAGAGCAAATTCCACACACAGAGTTGTAAAGTGTATACATGTATATTATTGCGCATAATAATTATAACGTTTTCTGCTTGAAACTTGGGGGGGTGGGGGGTGGGGGGTGGGGGGGGGGGGTGGTTCTAAAACCACTTTTGAAAGATAAATACAGAGATCTTACAGATTATAAACTTCGTTTAAAAGTTATAAAGTTGTCTTTATGAACATTTACATTGATAGTGTCTGTCTGTAATCTGTTCGTGATATCTCATAACGAGTTCGTTATGTAGGTCATTGCTATGCTGGTTTTACAACGTGTGTGATTACAACACCTCTTCATCTACGTTCACAAGCACAGCTTTTCCGACCGACGGCAAGAACAACAAATCAGGTGACTTTCTGGTGCGATGCCAAAACCGCGTTCAACCTGTTTCAGCCACGCTTTTAGACCTATATACACACTAACCGTCACGTTTTGAGACTATTCAAAACTCGTTTGAAATGTGTAAATTCAAATCAGTCACATCGTTATTTACAACGACTACTTTTAAACTCCACACATGGCTGTGATCTCAGACAATTGTATGACTTCATCGTACAATAACAACATGTTTGTTTGATTATGCCCCCAAAGGGGGGCAACCGACGTTATAATTGCTTCAAGCTTGTCACACATGAATATTTGTTACGTAACGTTAAATGAAAGTGACCATTCCTAAAAATTACCATGACAATGAAAGTGACTTAATTATCCAATTAACCCATATTCAGCTAATCCTTTCATCTATCGTTCAATTATTGTTTCATGTATAACCATACATTTCGTTGATTCAATGTCAAAATAACAATGTATCTATAGGGAGACACTGAATGGTCTTAGTTCGCTTGACATTTCTGACAGGCACTAAATGAAATTCAGTAATAAATATATAGTTTCATCGTCAACATCGTCAACATCTCCCTCAAAATTATGCTTGTAACTTTCTATACTTTTAACACATCACATAAATGGATGTGTGAAGTTAAACAAAAGTGTCACAAGGATGTGACTATTTCAACAATGTATATGATTCATATTGTTATCTACCACGTTACCACGTTCAGGTACCCTGAATGCAGTTTATACATATATTGCTCCTCTGCATGAAATGAGTGCCGTATGTCAGTCTAGATCACGTGATACCATGTACATTGCCTCGCGGCATGAAATAATAAATGAGTGACGCGCCAGGCCGCAGCGAGCGTTGCGTGTGGTCACGTAGTATTGCGACCGAAGTTCAGATATCACAAGCTAGAAGGGGGCGTTGTTTGCAGTCGAAGCACAGTGGGTCTGACTCGTGAGCTTTACTGAGGCCTTGAATGCTGTAACCTTGATAAAACAACGTCTCAGCAAGAGTCTTATGACGCTCTTGGAAGAAAGAGCGTGCTCAATTGTACGTCACAAGTTGTGAAATGTTAACACCAAAGACCGGAGATGCAGGAATATAGTTCGACATAAAGGGAAAGTTGTCTAATAGAACGTTGAGGTCATCTTGTCATACAGTCTTGTTGAGAGTGTTTTGTCAATGATAATCCTTACGCAAAGATCGAAATATGGAACAGGTGAAGCCATCTCACTGGTCTCCTTTATTTCTAGTTCAGGTGGGTCAATCAGTGGAAGGACCCGTGAAGATTCCGGGGTAGAATAGGTCTTCAGCAACCCATGCGTGTCGTAAAAGGTGACTATGCTTGTCGTAAAAGGCGACTAACGGGATCGGTTGGTCAGGCTCGCTGACTTGGTTGATGCATGTCATTGATCCCAATTGCGTTGATCGATGCTCATGATATTAATCACTGGATTGTCTGGTCCAGACTCGATTATTTACAGACCGCCATCATATAGCTGGAATATTATGAGTGCGGCGTTAAACAACATGCCAACAACAACCAACAATCAGTGGAAGACAATTGGCTATTTGATGGTTATTTAACGATATCAGATCATCGATATTTCCGAAGCTTAAGTTAAACTTCTTGGCCAAATTACCTTGTTTTGACTTCCGAGCAGAAATTCCGATATACGTAAAGAAACAGATCAGCAAGATCTGGTGCACGTGGTGCTGGTTTCGTTTCCGGGGTTTTTCTGAAGGTCTTATCTTTGCTGGTGGTATAAGATGAACATATTGCTTCTGTGGTAGGTAAGGTTGGGTAAGGATACTGTAACTTAAACGTTCCACAGGTCGCTGTCAGGGGAAGATTATTTGTTTTTTTACATAGGTAACGGTATACTGCAGCGGGGTTGCGGTGACTACACCGAACACAGCACTCTGAAACACATCTGAAGAAGTGAGACATGTTCTTCCGGAACATTGAGTGTCCTCCTGTAAGGAAGACGAGGAGAATGCCTCTGATTTTAAAACAGTACTGTGAGGATTGACAGTCGTGTGACAATGCATTTTCATATTCTAAAATGTATTTGGTTTGGAAAATGTTAAATTCATCCAGCATCTATATGATGATTTCAAGACAGCATCCCTACGATAATTTCAATCCAGTAATTCTACGCTAGCTTTAATCCAGTAACAATGTAATGATTTCAATCCAGCAAATATATGGCGTCGTGTTCAAATGAAATTTCCGTACATCCATTCAGCATAACATCACGCAAATCTTACAAACCGAAATATTTATCTCCTAATTATATGGTGATTTCAATCCTGCAACTATACGATAATATTATCTTGCAATAATATGATAATTTCAGTCTAGCAACTATATGATGTCAGTCAATCTCCAGCAACTGTATGATGATTTTAATCCAGCAAATATTAATTTTAGTTATCATAATTTATAACATGTTGAAATATTAATGCTATAACTGTCATAGAAAACAAACAAAATAATTATCAAGATAAACTGAAGGAACTATTTTATTTCTTAAATGCCACTGTATAAGTAAAATCTGTGAATTAACATTCATAACTGATTAGCTGTGTAAACGCTTGAACTTTCGGCAAAGTTGAATTGCAATTCACTCATTAAAAAGGCTAATTTTACATTTTTGTCTCTTATATGATTTAGCCTTGACTCATTTAGTGCATTGTTTTTAGTCAAGAAATTTAACTTCACCTTCGGGTATATCGATGATCCTATATCAAATAGCCATTTCCGTTCACAGGATCTACTCACCTGTTGTAGAAATAAATGACATCAGTGAGACCGCCTCATCTGTTTCATATTTAGAGGACCGCCTCCGTGGTCTAGTGGTAGAGCGTCCGCCCGGAGAGCGGAAGGTTCGGGGTTCGATCCCCGGCCGCGTCATACCAAGAGACGTTTAAAGATGGTACTTGTTGTTACCCTGTCTGGCGCTCGGCATTAAGGGGCTAAAACAAGGACTGGTCGGCTCGGAGTCAGTATACTGTGTCTGAGTGGGGTATTCATGTTAAACTGCGGCATGGTATCTCAGTGGGCTAGCACTATAAATCGGCATCACTCCGGACTAGTACAAGCAGCCACACAAACACACACACACGTACATGCACGTCGCTATATAAGTGCAATAATCTTGAACGCGACGTTAAACCCAATTTCAACTCACCTCACCTCATATTTAGAGCTGTGCATAAAGACTCAGATTGACAAAATACCCACAAGACTTAATGACAAGAGGGATGACTTCAATTTCCTATCGTCAACATTCCATTCATGTCGAGCTCCAACCTTTGGCGTTACATTTCACAACTTGTGAGGCACAATCTAGCATGCCTTTTCTACGAAGACAAAAAAGCGTTATACGATTCTTGCGCAAAAGTTGTTTGGTCAGGGTTCGCCCCGATTATGTTCCTAGGTTTTTCAGCACCATACCCGTGTTCGTGGGTTTCACAAAACTGATAAACTTTGGAGGCCCGCATCACTCCGGGCTTTCCTCCCACATTAAGCTGACACGCAGTGATATAACTGGAATACTGTTAAAAGCGGCGTTAAACCAAACTCACTCACTCACTTAAGTTTAGACAATAAAGATTTTGTATGTACATCGAAACCCTGCTACTCTGGACGGCCCTGTTATCAAGGAATTCGTCCAGATTTGCAAATGTCATAGGCACATCAGTTTAATCATGTCACGTCATATACACACTATCAACGGTAGTCAGTCTCAACGCGAGGTTTCAAAGACACGGTCTTACTTTCTAGGTAAGTATCTAATTGATCTACTTAATTCATCTTGTCGTAATAGGCGACTAACGGGATCGGGTGGTCAGGCTCGCTGACTTGATTGATGCATGTCATCGTATCCCAACTGCGTAGATCGATGCTCATCATATCAAACACTGGATTCTCGGGTCCAGATTCTATTATTTGCAGGCCGTCATCATATAGCTGGAATATTGCTGAGTGCGGCGTTAAACAACAAACAATCAAACAAATAAACTTAATTCATCGCGAAGGCCCCTTGCAGATTCTCGTTGGAACTGGTGTTCAGTAACACATGATTGTCGTAAGAGGCGACTAACGGGATCGGGTGTTCGGGCTCGCTGATTTGGTTGATGCATGTCGTACTCCAATTGCGTAGATCATGTTCGTGATGTCAATCACTTGATTGTCTGGTCAACACTACCGTCATATACCTTGAATATTGCTGAGAGTGGTGTAAAAGAACAAACAAACAACAGCAGGAAGAATAGGTCTCAAGAAGTTTGATGGGAAAGTTTTATTTTTATTTCATTAAGCTGATAAAGAGACAAGAAGTGGCGATGACACGTGGTTACAAACAATGAAGTCGTTATCACAAAATAATCATGTTTTTGTGTTCTTTCAAGACTTAATTTCCACTGTTTTGATTCCCTATCGTTGCGATAGAACACAAATCAGCTGAACAAAAAGCACACGTATTCCTAGTTTGATAAAAAGAAACCAGAAAGTTGTAAGGTAAACTTTGATTTTCGAATATATCAAGAATAACACTTAAGAGCTGGCAATGCCTGGTCACGAGTTGATAATGATGTATGATTCGTGATCCCCCCTTTAGTGCTTTTAAGGGGATCCAGTTGAATTAACGAGACCTAAAGTGTCGAACTCAGCCCCAGATCAGCCTCATTAGCCATGTGATAAAGCCGATGCAGCAGATGACTCATTAGTCATGTGACAATCAGGCTCTATCTGGGAACCTGGCCAGACCGCAGCGAGCGTTACGTGTGGTCACATGGTACTGCGACCGAAGTTCATATATCACAAGCAACAAAGGGGCGTTGTTTGCAGTGGCAGCACAGTGAGTCTGATTTGTGAAATTACCGATGTATCATTAGGTTGATATAATGAATTGTATGGTAATAAGTAACTTTGGATGGACATTAATAATGACTAACGCTCTTATTCTCAAAATAATCTTGTCTTACATACCATTTATTTAAAATGAATGATCCTAATCTAAACGGTGGTGATGGTTTGTCCCGGCAGATCTTTTGTTGTCTTGCAATCGTTCATTGTAATACATTTATGTGAACATTTATCTGAATGAAAATGTTTCGTTGTATTAAAGGAACATCAATATTAATTAAATAATGCATATAATTTACTATAGCCCGCTAGGATATTGAAAAGGTAAAAGGGCGATACAAAAACTAGCTACAGCAGCTGATATATCTATAAATGTTGCCAAAGATTGGTTAAAGAAACCAGAAATATGGCAAATATACTTGCCAGCTCCCCCCCCCCCCCCCCATAAGTCCCAAAGAAAAATGTTTGATATTTTCATAACTAATGACGTTCATTTGGCTGACATTTTGACTCTTCCATACGATAAGGTAAGATGCAAAACATATACATATGCTTTAACTGTAGTAGATATAGCTAGTCTGTACAACGAGGCTGCACCATTAACCTTAACTAAAGTAGCTAATGCACTGGGCCGCATATATAAACGTGGACCCTTAAAATGGCCCAAATTATCTCAAGTAGATTCGTGACGCGAGTTTATGGGATCAGTAACTAAACTATAAACAAAGTACGATGTTACAATCAGGCATGCTGAAAAAGAGACCCATCATTGCCAAGCTATTGTTGAAAGATTTAACCAAATATTAGCAGAACGCGTTTTGGATATCAATATGCTCAGGAGATGGTGATGACTGATAAAAGATCAACAGAATGGGTGACACGATCATCAGCTGTTGTATCATCGCCAAATAATGACGTAACAATATTAATAGGTAGGAAACCATCGGATGCTATTAAAATGAAATGTGTGACTTCGGGATCTTCAGCGCCATGGAGGTAAAGAACAAAACTCTTCAGATAGAGTAAGTGTGAGGTATTTGTACCAGCCTGGTGATCTCAAAGGAGGCCGACGTCGTGCAACTGATAGGGGGAGGTTAGGGGTGGGGGCTGTGCTTGGGATATTGTAAGGGGACCAACTACATCATTAATGTCACATGTTTCTCATAAGAGCGGGGATTAGGTGGACACAATGGCATAGGATGACCTCTATGGAGATCCAATCACTCAACTGTCATTGGACTGATTGTGTGGCATTGCAGTTTTAACCCTTGACATGAGGGCTGCATGATGTTTACGATCTCAAATCCTTTGGATTATGTATATAATGCTCTTTGTGTACTCATCCTATGGTAACTTGTCTTATGGTGCGCCTATATAACCTGCCCTCAACTGTTATCTCACTTTTGACCTCCTTCCCTATCAGACAGTTGAAACTACCCACACTTTGCACAACTACGATTGATGTTTTTTGTCTGTCGTTTGGTTAAACACCGCACTCAGCAAACTTCCTGCAAAACCATGATGGTCTGTAAATAATCGAGTCTGGAGAAACTAGTGACAGACATTATGAGCATCGATCTACGCAAATGGTACGCAGTGACATCTATCAAACAGTTCAGTAAGCCGATACTGTTGGTTGCCTCTTATAACAAACATGCACATCGCTATATGAGTGTTATTATCTTGATGTAATAATTGCGACGTTAAATCCCATTTCATCTCACCTCAACATGTTGTAACGTTTCCTGTGACCCAAGGGATCTTTGAAAATAGGCAGGGATATGTATAATCATAATGTATATATAGTTTGTGGATGTAGTGAACCGAGTAAAAATGTTATTTACATAGTTTACTTCATAAATAAATGCGAGTTACGTCGAATCAGCTCTCTTCCACGTGGTCCCTGTACACTCATGCACGATTGGGCTTAGTTTCGGGGTAAGTGAATGGCAGCTAGAATAGCCACGATGAATACTAGGGTATAACCTTGGAACTTTGACAGAGTGAACTCCATCGTGTTCCGTTCTTTAGAATGCTTCGTATGTGAGGTGCTACTTGCCTATCCAGCTCTAAGAATAATATGCAAAGGTAATATTTTTGATTATTTTGTACTGACACGATTATGATCTTCTCTTATTTAGCATGTTTAGGGGTTGTATTGAAATCAATATATGTGGTTTAAATTTAAGAATGTTAGGGGTGCCTGCAGGTTATACTGCACACATGGAGTGTATCCATGAGAAGTCCGTCCGATGCAACCGATCCTACAGAGGGTTCCAATTATAGGTCTGTGGTGTTCAAATCCAGATGGATGGGTTCTGTCTATTTGCAGGGATGTTTCAAACTTTCCTAACTTCTGGTTGTGTTTAAAACTAGACATCAGAGTGCTGATCTAATACTATTGGTGTTTACTGTTTGATGCCCAGATCACCTCTACTCACCTCTAATTTTGATGTGCATAAATGATTTCAGGGGCTTCAACAAGAAGGAACTTACTCTACCTGTTTCTTGGTGATGAACAGCTAAGATGGCCTCAAATTGGTTGACCACACAGGAAGATGACCATGAAGACGAGATGTTGGAGGTCATCGCATCAGGAAACCACTCTACGATCCCCACTTCAGGTTTGTGTACTAAAGAAGCTGAGACCATCCACCCATTTTAACTTACCGTATATTCCGTATAAAGCGCCCGAGACACTTAGAAAACTGACAAAGGGTAGGATTGGGTGGGCACTTATTGAAACCATACACGAGTAACAGGAAGATTGTAAAAAGTCGAGAGAGAACAGACTTAATTGAAATTAAAACAGTTCGCCATTAAAAAAAGTTACCAGACCAGGAGATGGATAGTATTCAAAATATTTCCCGTTACAGGAAGCATTTTGTAAACTCTGTAATTATTATTGTCGCGTATTACTCGTATCATTACCCGGAAATAGAAAACACACTACCAGTGATTAAGTAAACAATAATACCCCACTTCATTACTTGATCGTTTAATGCAAAGATAGACAGAAATTAATCAGCAACCATGACTGAATCACGAATAAAACTCTGACTTGTTTTTCTTGCGAGACGTATCAATAACAGAAATACATCACCTGTACATGAATTATTTTTTGGCATCATCAAGTTATTGCATTATGTATGGAATAATTTGAAGCGGCACTGTTTGATATTGAATGAGCGATCACGTGATAGGAATCACCCCGCAGCATCTGAAAGACTTACGATTTTTAAATGACAACAAGGATGACACAGTTTATGTTTATATTCATACTAAAGTTCGTTTCATGGCACCGATAACATTAATCTGTTGCTGTAAATAACACTGACCTGATCGTTACCATGATTTTGCCAAAATAAACAATAATTAAATAGATGTTAAATGATACGAATAGGTTATACAATGGACTATGAATACTAAGGGGTGGACAATACTATTTGATATTTTGTGGGGGGAGTGGTTGGGTTTTGGGGGTACAATTTTCTCTGTACAGATGAAGGGGATTTTATAGCAGAACAATGAAAATAGCAGTATGAATGGCAGACAACCTGTCACCACCACCCAGGAAAACAGTACATACGCATTCTCCATCTGAGGAATCATATTGTCATGGTGACATCATCAGCAGTGACAGTCATCCTGTCACTGAACAGTGTCCAGAAGACTGCATCGGTACTGTCCCCGTTTGGTAATTCAGGGTAGACGAGGAAGATTAAACCCAGGGGTGAAGTTTAAGAAGATTTGTTTATTGTTGATGGAGAATAATGCACAGTGGAACAGAGTGGCCAATGTCCCGGTGCGGAGACCCGCTCTGTGACTTACCGTATATGACCGCAGGTAAGCGGACCCCGTAGATAAGCCGAGGTATTAACTTGACCATTCAAACATAAACATCATAGGACCCATAGATAATCCGAACCAGGAAATGAAAGGCAACGACATACCACAAAGTTTGTACCGGTACTTGCAGATATTCAATAATATAAGATGAAAAATGTTGTAATTATATGGAAAAAATCATTATAATTTTTAATAAAGATTTACCAAACCAGTCATCCAATACCCTAATGTGGTCAGCTGTGTTTCTGTTGTCTTTTTTTAACTTCATTATGATCATTATGTTGCCATCAACAACGAGACGCCATTTTGTGAATAGGTGTACATAGAACACACAGGCAGGAAGTTGGACGTCGATTCTTCCTTGTTGACTTAGTTGTTGGACAGGCGACATAAGAAGGTGTTAACTGACATGTATAGATAGCACTGGGAAATAGGGACCTGCTTGAAGGGGATTTGTGGGGATACGCCAAATGTTTTCTCTATACATTAAACAGACAAAGGAGATAGAATTTCAGTGCGCCTTGTAAACATATTGAAACAATTTTAAAGAAACCTATTGAAGTGCTTTGCGCTGTAACGATACCAATGAGAATGTCGTGAAGCTTTTGTCCCCCAAAGCATTTTAAAAAGACTGAAAGTACAAGTATACAGTAAAGTGCATTTTTCAGAAAAAACAGTTTGTGCCTCATATTGGTCAAAATTAGGACACACTCACTAACATCATCAAAACAAAGAAGCAGGTGACGCCAGGTTTATTAGACTCACTCGTTGTCACGGTAAAGAAATGTGACAGCTCTTACCGCTTTTACCATGCCAATATTTTTCAATCCTAACACGTTTTGAAGATGTCGTTGATGCCATTGGCGACATCCATGCCAATGTTTTTAGTGTTCTAGTTTGTGCTGGTAACCTTTGGCAAATACCACCCCATCCAGATACAAAACACAAGTCCACCTTCGTTACACCCAATGGTGTTTTGGAATCAAATGGACTCACTTTCGGCCTAAAATATGCTCCTGTTGCATATCACCAAATCATTTCAGAGGCACTAAAAGAAATGAATTACATACCAATGTATGAAGATGAGATTATAATATTTTCTAAAACGTTTTCTGAACATTTAAATCACCTCAAGGCAGTATTTTAAAAGATTTCAAGAAGCAGGACTCACTCTAAAACCATGCAAATGCGACAAAACAAGTCACCTACTTATCTTCAGCAAAGATGGCATCCGTGTCGATCCTTCAAAATTAGATTCGGCCACACAGATCCCATCCACTACAAATGTCGATGATGTGCGTCATTTCTTAAGTTTGGCCCTCATTATCCCAAATTTGTAGCAAACTTTCCTGGCATCACCTCCCTTTTGTACAAACCTTCTGAAAAAAGATGAAATGCTCTTTATTGATGAGGATGGTCATATTGCGATCAAGACTTTTATAGAGCCTTTTTTCCAAGCAGGTGGAGCTTTTTATTTGCATAATCCCTGAAGGATCCATGCTACAAATAATTTATCTCACCTTCATGTTTTAATATGACAGTGTAAAAGAATTCAAACAAATTCAAAATTGACAGAAAACAGCTGTTCGATTTAGCTTGGGCTATGTCATGTGACTTCCACTGGCTTATAAAAGTGTTCAAATGTAGTAGTAGTAGTAGTAGTATTGGTAGTTATAGGAGTAGCAGCAGCAGCAGCAGCAGCAGTAGTAGCAGAAATGTGTCTAGTTATAGGAGTTCTAGCAGTAGTGGAATGTGGAGCAGTAGTAGAAACAACAGTAGCAAAAGAAGTAGAAGTAGAAGTAGAAGTAGTAGTAGTAATAGTAGTAGTAGCAGCAGCAGTCGTTGCAGTAGAAGTATTGGTAGTTATAGCAGTAGTAGCAGCAGTAGTAGCAACAGCAACAGTAGCAGAAGTAGTAGCTGTAGTAATAGTACTAGTAGTAGTGGTAGCAGTACTAGTATTGGTAGTTATAGAAGTAGTAGCGGCAGCAGAAGTAGTGTGTGTGGTTATAGTCGTTGTAGCAGTAGTAGAAACAGTAGCAGAAGTAGTAGCTGTAGTAATAGTACTAGTAGTAGTAGTAGTAGTAGTAGTCGTAGCAGTACTAGTATTGGTAGTTATAGTAGTAGTAGCGGCAGCAGAAGTAGTGTGTGTAGTTATAGTAGTTGTAGCGGTAGTAGAAACAGTAGCAGAAGTACTAGCTGTAGTTAAAGTACTAGTAGTAGTCGTAGCAGTACTAGTATTGGTAGTTATATTAGTAGTAGCGGCAGCAGAAGTAGTGTGTGTAGTTATAGTAGTTGTAGCAGTAGTAGAAGAAGTAGTAAAGTGTGTTGTTATTAGTAGAAACAGTAGCAGCAGTTGAAACAGCAACAGTAGCAAAAGTAGTAATAGTAGAGGTATTGGTAGTTGTAGTAGTTATAATAGTAGTTGTAGCTGTAGTAGAAGTAGAAGTAGTGTGTGTTGTTATAGTAGTAGCAGCAGTAGTAGTATTGATAGTTATAGTAGTTGTAGCTGTAGTAGAAGTAGAAGTAGTGTGTGTTGTTATAGTAGTAGCAGCAGTAGTAGTAATGATAGTTATAGTAGTTGTAGCTGTAGTAGAAGTAGAAGTAGTGTGTGTTGTTATAGTAGTAGCAGCAGTAGTAGTATTGATAGTTATAGTAGTTGTAGCTGTAGTAGAAGTAGAAGTAGTGTGTGTTGTTATAGTAGTAGCAGCAGTAGTAGTATTGATAGTTATAGTAGTTGTAGCTGTAGTAGAAGTAGAAGTAGTGTGTGTTGTTATAGTAGTAGCAGCAGAAGTAGTATTGATAGTTATAGTAGTTGTAGCTGTAGTAGAAGTAGAAGTAGTGTGTGTTGTTATAGTAGTAGCAGCAGTAGTAGTATTGATAGTTATAGTAGTTGTAGCTGTAGTAGAAGTAGAAGTAGTGTTTGTTGTTATAGTAGTAGCAGCAGTAGTAGTATTGATAGTAATAGTAGTTGTAGCTGTAGTAGAAGTAGAAGTAGTGTGTGTTGTTATAGTAGTAGCAGCAGTAGTAGTATTGATAGTTATAGTAGTTGTAGCTGTAGTAGAAGTAGAAGTAGTGTGTGTTGTTATAGTAGTAGCAGCAGTAGTAGTATTGATAGTTATAGTAGTTGTAGCTGTAGTAGAAGTAGAAGTAGTGTCTGTTGTTATAGTAGTAGCAGCAGTAGTAGTATTGATAGTTATAGTAGTTGTAGCTGTAGTAGAAGTAGACGTAGTGTTTGTTGTTATAGTAGTAGCAGCAGTAGTAGTATTGATAGTTATAGTAGTTGTAGCTGTAGTAGAAGTAGAAGTAGTGTTTGTTGTTATAGTAGTAGCAGCAGTAGTAGTATTGATAGTTATAGTAGTTGTAGCTGTAGTAGAAGTAGAAGTAGTGTGTGTTGTTATAGTAGTAGCAGCAGTAGTAGTATTGATAGTTATAGTAGTTGTAGCTGTAGTAGAAGTAGAAGTAGTGTGTGTTGTTATAATAGTAGCAGCAGTAGTAGTATTGATAGTAATAGTAGTTGTAGCTGTAGTAGAAGTAGAAGTAGTGTGTGTTGTTATAGTAGTAGCAGCAGTAGTAGTATTGATAGTTATAGTAGTTGTAGCTGTAGTAGAAGTAGAAGTAGTGTGTGTTGTTATAGTAGTAGCAGCAGTAGTAGTATTGATAGTCATAGTAGTTGTAGCTGTAGTAGAAGCAGAAGTAGTGTGTGTTGTTATAGTAGTAGCAGCAGTAGTAGTATTGATAGTTATAGTAGTTGTAGCTGTAGTAGAAGTAGAAGTAGTGTGTGTTGTTATAGTAGTAGCAGCAGTAGTAGTATTGATAGTTATAGTAGTTGTAGCTGTAGTAGAAGTAGAAGTAGTGTGTGTTGTTATAGTAGTAGCAGCAGTAGTAGTATTGATAGTCATAGTAGTTGTAGCTGTAGTAGAAGCAGAAGTAGTGTGTGTTGTTATGGTAGTAGCAGCAGTAGTAGTATTGATAGTTATAGTAGTTGTAGCTGTAGTAGAAGTAGAAGTAGTGTCTGTTGTTATAGTAGTAGCAGCAGTAGTAGTATTGATAGTCATAGTAGTTGTAGCTGTAGTAGAAGTAGAAGTAGTGTGTGTTGTTATAGTAGTAGCAGCAGTAGTAGTATTGATAGTCATAGTAGTTGTAGCTGTAGTAGAAGTAGAAGTAGTGTTTGTTGTTATAGTAGTAGCAGCAGTAGTAGTATTGATAGTTATAGTAGTTGTAGCTGTAGTAGAAGTAGAAGTAGTGTGTGTTGTTATAGTAGTAGCAGCAGTAGTAGTATTGATAGTCATAGTAGTTGTAGCTGTAGTAGAAGTAGAAGTAGTGTGTGTTGTTATAGTAGTAGCAGCAGTAGTGGTATTGATAGTCATAGTAGTTGTAGCTGTAGTAGAAGCAGAAGTAGTGTGTGTTGTTATAGTAGTAGCAGCAGTAGTAGTATTGATAGTTATAGTAGTTGTAGCTGTAGTAGAAGTAGAAGTAGTGTGTGTTGTTATAGTAGTAGCAGCAGTAGTAGTATTGATAGTTATAGTAGTTGTAGCTGTAGTAGAAGTAGAAGTAGTGTGTGTTGTTATAGTAGTAGCAGCAGTAGTAGTATTGATAGTCATAGTAGTTGTAGCTGTAGTAGAAGCAGAAGTAGTGTGTGTTGTTATAGTAGTAGCAGCAGTAGTAGTATTGATAGTTATAGTAGTTGTAGCTGTAGTAGAAGTAGAAGTAGTGTGTGTTGTTATAGTAGTAGCAGCAGTAGTAGTATTGATAGTCATAGTAGTTGTAGCTGTAGTAGAAGCAGAAGTAGTGTGTGTTGTTATGGTAGTAGCAGCAGTAGTAGTATTGATAGTTATAGTAGTTGTAGCTGTAGTAGAAGTAGAAGTAGTGTGTGTTGTTATAGTAGTAGCAGCAGTAGTAGTATTGATAGTTATAGTAGTTGTAGCTGTAGTAGAAGTAAAAGTAGTGTGTGTTGTTATAGTAGTAGCAGCAGAAGTAGTATTGATAGTTATAGTAGTTGTAGCTGTAGTAGAAGTAGAAGTAGTGTGTGTTGTTATAGTAGTAGCAGCAGTAGTAGTATTGATAGTCATAGTAGTTGTAGCTGTAGTAGAAGCAGAAGTAGTGTGTGTTGTTATAGTAGTAGCAGCAGTAGTAGTATTGATAGTTATAGTAGTTGTAGCTGTAGTAGAAGTAGAAGTAGTGTGTGTTGTTATAGTAGTAGCAGCAGTAGTAGTATTGATAGTCATAGTAGTTGTAGCTGTAGTAGAAGCAGAAGTAGTGTGTGTTGTTATGGTAGTAGCAGTAGTAGTATTGATAGTTATAGTAGTTGTAGCTGTAGTAGAAGTAGAAGTAGTGTGTGTTGTTATAGTAGTAGCAGCAGTAGTAGTATTGATAGTTATAGTAGTTGTAGCTGTAGTAGAAGTAAAAGTAGTGTGTGTTGTTATAGTAGTAGCAGCAGTAGTAGTATTGATAGTTATAGTAGTTGTAGCTGTAGTAGAAGTAGACGTAGTGTTTGTTGTTATAGTAGTAGCAGCAGTAGTAGTATTGATAGTTATAGTAGTTGTAGCTGTAGTAGAAGTAGAAGTAGTGTTTGTTGTTATAGTAGTAGCAGCAGTAGTAGAAACAGTAGCAGTAGTTGAAACAGCAACAGTAGCAAAAGTAGTAGCAGTAGAGGTATTGGTGGTGGTGGTAGCAGTAGTAGTGGAAGTTGTAGTTGCAGGAGCCATTGTTCTAGACATTAACTAGTAACAATCTTTATAGTAGTCGTGGCGGTGGCAGCTGTATTTGTTGTGGTTGCCATGGTTGGTGATTCTTAGTTTATTTGTGTTGTAGATGTTGTTGTTGTTGCAGTAGTGGTATGTTGTTTCAGTCGATGTAGCAAAAGTAATAGTAGCTTTGTTGTTTGTTTGTTTGTTTCTTTGTTTGTTTTCTAACGCCGCAGTCAGCAATATTCCAACTATTTCACGGCGTTCTGTAAATAATCGCGTCTGGACCAGACAATCCAGTGATGGACATCATGAGCATCGATCTACACAAATGGAATACGATTACATCCATCAACCAAGTCAGCGAGCCTGACTACCCGATCCCGTTGGTGGCCTCTTACGACAACCATACGAACAGGCTCGTAATGACTTCGACGCGACCTCCATTCTAATGGACGTCATCAACTGATGGTTGAAAATTAGTGGACCTTTGCACACGGTATTAAGACAGTTGTTCAACACTATCTGCTGTATTCCAGTTACTAAAATATCACCACAATCGTCACAATTGACTGCTGTCAATTCTTTGTTGAGTTTGTTTTTGTTTGTCAAACTGTACTTTATTCAGTTAAATCCCTTAGAGTTGTTTTTCAGGAGGAGTTCCTCAAGCCGTCACTCTGGTCGGGACGCAGAACATATTTACTGGACCGACCCCTGCAGGGACTGTTGGTGAAGGTAGGCACTGTCAGCCATGATTCAGGTTATTCTAGTTCTGTATTTGGAAGTCTAAGATGCTTTGCTAAAAGATCAAAGACGACTGCGATGAAGTACAATTTTTTAATTACATCATAAGGCTTGAAGCCGCAAAGCTGTTAAAATTTCCGCCCCCGTGATGTAACGTATCCTAACTAACATCGTTCTTTTATTGCTGTCAAGAAAGATGGCACTAACATATCATGTTTTGGTGAAATAGTTCCTTTAAACTTAATACCCCGGCAGAAATATGGAAAGATGATGTCAATCATCTCTCCTGTCGCAGGCTTATCCCACACATATTCAAACCACTGCCAGAGCAAACGTTGGCGCCCTACGAATTATGTCTGTCTCAGGACATAGGAATGAACAATCCTTAAAAAGTTCCATAACCCCATTTACACCTGTTACTCAACGTACGACATTTAACACTATACTCTATTCCTCCGACATGGGGGCGGTCGGGTAGCCTAGTGGTTAAAGCGTTCGCTCGTAACGCCGAAGAACCGGGTTCGATTCCCGACATGGGTACAATGTGTGAAGCCCATTTCTGGTGTCCCCCGCCGTGATATTGCTGGAATATTGCTAAAAGCGGCGTAAAACCATACTCACGCACTCACTCCTCCGCCATGTTCGTCCCACGGCGACATGTCACGTTCCAGGCTGTCAGTACACGTCGGTTACGGTATCATATGATGCAATTAACTCGGTAAACATACTGTTTCATGGTATGCTGTTGCTGCAGTCTGCTGACTTTAGTGGCGGATACAAAGGTGCAACTTGTACTACATTAAGCACCTCAACTGGACTCCGGCTGTGTTAGCTCGTCCCCACAATGCACTTGTGGACTCTTTCGAGTCACGTGATTAAATTGAAGCAAGTTTATATATAAACTCAGATTTAAGTCCTACTTAAGGCAATGGACGGATAACCAAATATGACCGCTTTAATTATAATCTACCCATTTTAGTGGTGTTTTATTATGTTTCATACGTAAATATGTCTCTCCACGTTATGGTACAGGCAGTTAGGTGGATGAGCCTTTCAGTTAGCCCTGTTAATTTACGTCACATGTCATCACAGATTTGATTTTAAACCCAGCCCCATTAAAACATAAAGGTTAGTCCTAAATTCGGAATCATAGAAAAGTAACAAAGTTTGCACTACCCTCGCATGTAGTGTAATGCAGTCTACTTTTGCCCTTTGGTTGATGCATGTCATCGATCCCTATTGCGTGAAGATTCGGGGTAGAATAGATCTTCAGCAACTCATGCTTGCCATAAAAAGCGACTATGCTTGTCGTTAGAGGCGACTAACGGGATCGGTCAGGCTCGCTGACATGGTTGATGCATGTCATCGTATCCCAATTGGTTAGATCAAAGCTCATGATGTCAATCACCGGATTGTCTGGTTCAGACTCGGATTATTTACAGACCGCAGTCACAAAGCTGGAATATTGCTGAGTGCGGCGTTAAGCAACAAACAAACAAACACACAAAAAGTTTTGCCCTTAACTATCATAACGTAAGCGTAATCGTGCTTTACATATAATAGTTCATGGCAAAACTATGCTGCATTACACGTGGGGGCAGAGCCAACTTTATTGTTAAACTAAAACGTATGAGAATAATAAAAGATGTGTGTATGTTTAGAAATAAATCATGATCAGTTGTGTTGACGAATGTGTCGCAAAAAAAGACAAGAAAACAGGAACTTGAGAAACAAGATTACATATTTGCTCAATAGTAAGCAATCATTTAAAAAAGAAAACATAGATAACTACTCAATTTGTTTGGGAGGTGCCAAGATAAATCAAAGTATATTTTCGTCAATAAATAGTTGATATTTGGTAAGTAATGTGCTTATGTTCATAACACCATTTAATCAAATGTTTCATATTTGAATACACAAACAGATTGAACTGTTTCAGCAATGGCAATTACAAACTGAATTGCTGTTAACAGAAACTAATCTGTACATGCACCAACTTATTCCATATCGAAATAACTTATTTTCTTGTCAACTATGGCTTTGTAATGGATTCCCGGAACCACTCGGGAACGTTTCCCTTCTATTTAAAAACCAAATGTATTCTAAACATCTTGTGAGTCAGTCACTGTGTGGTATCGTCCTGCTTTAGTATTTAGGGATTGTCGAACACTCTCACCAAGACACTTTGTTACATGACAACACCAACCTCTTCTCCACAATCAAAGTGGTTTTAAAAGCAACAACTTTGGCATCTTTTATATTATTACATACATGAAAGATGTAATTATTTTCTGTTTTCGTTTCCAGCTACCCTTGACCTACAAATATGTGCCGCAAAAGAAGTCTTTGTTGCAGCTGATGTCTTTAGAACTGCAAAAAGAAAGCTGGAGGAATTTGGCCATGTCACCATCTGTGGTGCTTCAGGAGAAGGGAAAACCACGACAGCTCTCATTTTGGGTTCACAGTACAGACGAAACGGGTACAAGCTGGCATTTGTGGACAGGATTGATCAGTTTGACTTGGATAGCTTCTTGAGTTCATCACCTAGAGTATTTCTTATCATAGATGATATGTTTGGATCGGTTGGATTATCTACAGATGTTTCCCAGCTGAAACCATTTCTGAGTAAGCTTCTACCTCACTTACAGCGATGCAAGACGGCTTTAGGGAAACAACATTCACCCAGAAATCATCCAGCTAAGAAAGGTGGAGAAAAGAAGAGTAGTGGAGTCTCTGACCCAGCAGAACAACCTTCGAAGGATATCCGTGTTGTGTTCACATCCAAGACCTACAACTTCCACGATGGGCTTGCCCAGATGCAGTATGAGGGGTTCTTGTTGTTCAAGGGACAAACAGTGGTGGATATAACAACACAAACGGAACACAGATATACTCAAGAAGAGAAGAAAGCTATATTTGAGAAACATAGGAACCTCCACAAAAAGTGTTCTCATGAAGGTAATGAAAATGACAAAGATTATGAAGACATGCTACAATGCGACCTGTGGGACGTCGATTCTGTGTTTGGATTTCCACTTACTTGTAAACTATTTTTTGAATTTTCATCTTTTTCAAAACATATGATGAACTTTTTCAAGGAACCACTGTTTTATCTTAGATTAGAACTTAAAAGCTTACTGAAATCAAAAACTGATCGATCAGCCATATTGATTCTTATGCTACTGTGTGAGAAGTTAGATTTGGCCAAGCTGGAATCAACAGGAAAGGACAAGGCACTGGACAATATGATTAAAAATGTGTTAGAATTGTTCCCAATAGCTTCACGTCTAGGAATGTACGAAGCAGCAAAGGGCTTCAGGGGAACATTCTTCACACGCGGAGATACTGTAGGATTTGCCCACTCTTCGATCTATGATGCCTGTGCTTGTGTGTTGTATGACATCAGTCCAACATTTGTGCTGACTCACTGTAGTGACAACTTCATATATGAGAGAGTGCAACCCCGGCCAGTATCAGAAACCGAGATTGATGAACACCTTCATGTCATCTACATCTCAGAAAATTACAATGACATTCTAACCACACGGCTTGCAAAATCAATAAAAGATGGGCATTTTTCCAAATCAGTGACACACCCCATTCTCCAGCAAGACCAAATAATTCTTCAACTTCTTGAAAAGCTCCAGCCTGACGAATCCATGGAAGAAAGTTGGTTTCACAAAAGAGACATGGGGAGAAGTTTCTTATTTTGGACTGTACTTGGACATAGTTCAAAATTTGCAAAAGATATAGAAAAGAAAACTGGCGAAGAATTTACGCAAAGAGAAATCACAGAATCCTTTGAAGGTTGTGTATTTAAAAACAACGTGACATTGTTAAAGTGGCTTTTGTCTCGATGTGAACATCCAGTCGTTGGTGTCACCATGAATAGATTGCTTATGCTGTCTGCTAGACATGGAAGTTCTGAAACACTTCTTTATCTATTAGAAGAGGGTGCCGATGGAGTCACTACCACTGAAAATTACAAAACCATCATTAATTTAGCGTGCAGGACAGGGCATAAAACAATACTAGAGGTGTTGAAACAACACAACAGCGACCTCTATAAGACTGTTGTCATGAACTCTGTAGATGATGAAGGCATGACTCCACTCATGGAAGCTGCACGAACAGGATCCAGTGAATGTTACCAGTTATTGCAACCAATATCAAACAAGAACATTAAGGACAAGTACGGGAATGCACTACAACACTATGCATGTTTAGGTGGTAACAAAACTATAGTACAGGATGTCATATCGCCTTCTAACATCAATACCAGAGGACATGTTGGACGTACACCAGTCATGACAGCAGCTGGTAAAGGACACCAAAGTGTGTTTGATCTCCTCGTTTCAAAGAAGGCTGACCTGACTCTGCTGGATGACCATGGTAATAGCTTACTTCATCATGCCTGTATTGGAGGTAACACAGCTATAGTGCAACATGTCTTGTCACCCTCTAACATAAATAGTAGAGGACGTAATGGGTATACAGCAGTCATGACAGCAGCTGGTAAAGGACACCAACGTGTGTTTGATCTCCTCGTTTCAAAGAAGGCTGACCTGACTCTGCTGGATGACCATGGTAATAGCTTACTTCATCATGCCTGTAATGGCGGTAACACAGCTATAGTACAACATGTCTTGTTACCTTCTAACATCAATACCAGAGGACATGTTGGACGTTCACCAGTCATGACAGCAGCTGGTAAAGGACACCAAAGGGTGTTTGATCTCCTCGTATCAAAGAATGCTGACCTGACACTACAGGAAGACCATGGTTATAGTTTACTTCATCATGCCTGTGCTGGTGGTAACACAGCTATAGTACAACATGTCTTGTTACCCAATAACATCAATACTAGAGGACAAGATGGACATACACCAGTCATGACAGCAGCTGGTAAAGGACACCAAAGTGTGTTTGATCTCCTCGTATCGAAGAAGGCTGACCTGACACTGCGGGAAGACCATGGTGATATTTTACTTCATCATGCCTGTGATGGTGGTAACACAGTTATAGTGCAACATGTCTTGTTACCCTCTAACATCAATACCAGAGGAGAGGATGGATATACACCCTTAATGACAGCAGCCGCGCGAGGGCACCAACGTGTGTTTGATCTCCTTATTTCAAAGAAGGCTGACCTGACACTGCTGGATGACCATGGTAATAACTTACTTCATCATGCCTGTATTGGAGGTAACACAGCTATAGTACAACATGTCTTGACACCCTCTAACATCAATATCAGAGGAGGGGATGGATATACACCCTTAATGACAGCAGCCGCGCGAGGGCACCAACGTGTGTTTGATCTCCTTATTTCAAAGAAGGCTGACCTGACTCTACTGGATGACCATGGTAATAGCTTACTTCATCATGCCTGTATTGGAGGTAACACAGCTATAGTGCATGTCTTTTCACCCTCTAACATCAATACTAGAGGACATGTTGGACATACACCAGTCATGGTAGCAGCTTGGGAAGGACACCCACGTGTGTTTGATCTCCTCGTATCAAAGAAGGCTGACCTGTCACTGCGGGATGACCATGGTAATAGCTTACTTCATCTTGCCTGTTCTGGTGGTAACACGGCTATAGTGCAACATGTCTTGTCACCCTCCAACATCAATACTAGAGGACATGTTGGACGTACACCAGTCATGACAACAGCTGGTAAAGGACACCAACGTGTGTTTGATCTCCTCGTGTCAGAGAAGGCTGACCTGACACTGTGGGATGACCATGGTAATAGCTTACTTCATCTTGCCTGTGCTGGTGGTAACACAGTTATAGTGCAACATGTCTTGTCACCTTCCAACATCAACTTAGGTGGACAAAGTGGTTTGACTCCAATTGTGGTCGCAGCTAATCAAGGCCATCAAAGAGTGTTTGACCTCCTGGTGTCAAGGAATGCTGACCTGACGCAGTGGATATCAATTGTGATAGTTCGCTTCGTCCTGCCTATCGTGAGGTCAAGACGGCAATAGCATGGCCGTCCGTACCACCTACGTATGGTGGTAGCTCAAGGAATAAAAGCTGATCACATTACATAATGTTTTCAGAGAAGAAAACCTGTCAAATATACGTTTTAGCTGTAGACAGGCGTCAGAGCAACATGATGCTCCCAGCATTCAGTCTCTTAGTACATCATAAGCTTGTGTGAAAGTTTACGCGAAAAGGCGGTTCCCGTCACAGTTCCACCCACCCCAACACGCGCACGCACGCACGCACGCACGCACAAAAACACACTCACACTCTTTCTTACAATGACATTTCTGGGAACATGTGTAGCTGTTTAATCTGGTTCTGACCATATATTCTCAACATGTTTGGTAGTTGCCTTCACATTTTATTAAAACTGCCATCGGCATCATTCTTCTTTTGAAAATAGTTTAGTGAAAGATATATTAAGTGTTTTCTTAAAATCACACATCAAATTAAATGTTTAGAACCGATTTTACTACCTCGGTCTATATACATCCTGCTGGCTAGGATGATGTGGTTGAGGAGTGAAGAATCCAAGACCAAAACATACAGTTCTGAAGTTGAAACTGATTGTTTGTGATGAGAGGTAGTTTAGACGTTTTTCAGTACCATCATATGATTGACAATGTTCTATTCATAGAAGACATGAAGAATACTTTCTCCTTCCATCTTACAAAACGAGCATTTATTTGTACTGACTACATTCTCAGGGGTTCTTTTAACACAATAATGTGAATGAATCTATATTTGAAATCCAGAAGTTTAATATGTTTGGTACTTGTTATTATTTGTGTATACATATGTTTCCAGTTCAGATCTTCAGACATAATCTATGGCGCAACCTTTGTGAAAGTATGTTTTCAAGTTGTGTTCAAGTAACTGGGTCCCAAATATTCTACAATGTTTAATTTTTACAAACAGGTATTTTGCTGGTGCGATAGTATCAGTATTATAGTTCACTGAAACTTAACTGTCATGGTTTTTGATATAATTGTTACCATTCTATAATCTATACATTTTATTAGTATTGAGATATTTGAAGATCAAGATATCTGAAGTAAAATTTATACCGGATTGGTAAAATAATCTTACTACTCAGTTATGTGCGGTTACGTTCATAATCATATTGATATTCGGTCGCAATGAATGATGTTTACACAAGTTTAGAACATTGTTATTGATTGTTATCATACCGATATACTATCACATTTGTCATTACATTGCCTATATGCCTATGCTATTAATGTAAAACATCTTTGCAAACCACGTATATTCTAAATAGATTTGCAATATGATGTCCAACCTTGTATATTCTATATTTTGTTCAAAGCTTCTGACCGCTGAAAACCAGTAATTAACCAATCTGTTATCTGTACATGGGAACTTGAACTATGTGTCATGTTAAAGGCCTCTGCACGTAGTGTCAGAGTTGCCAGTGTCCGATGTAGTCAATGTACACTAGATATCATTGTCCCGGACAGTTCATCCTAGTTTACATTGACCCTGGACATTGACCATTGTATGGACGATATTTCTTGAGGTATATTTATGTTCTTTGCAGTAAGACCTTACCCAGGCTTACAAAGTAGCTGTGCTGCATACTTTCAGCGCCTGGTGAATTTCGAAAACGCCATCGCAGATCAAAACAACGCAGTCTTGACGATAAACTCTGCGAAATATCGAAAGCTGCTGAAGTGGACATTAACGAATATGTGAAAGTGACTAAACGCTTATCGAGACAGAATGGACAAATGTCAAAATTAACTGTTAACGGGATTTCTTCAACGACGCCAGAGGACATATGTTCAGCGTTTGGCATGTATTTTGCTGATTTAGCTACACCTGTAATGTCTGATTGTTTTGATGAATCTTTTGCCTCTGATGTAACGGAAAGAGTAAAATTAATCGAGTGAGTGAGTGAGTGTGGTTTTACGCCGCTTTTAGCAATATTCCAGCAATATCACGGCGGGGGACACCAGAAATGGGCTTCACACATTGTACCCATGTCGGGAATCGAACCCGGGTCTTCGGCGTGACGAGCGAACGCTTTAACCACTAGGCTACCCGACCTCCCCTAAAATTAATCGAAAAGATCTATAAAAATCCTGATGTGGAAAAGCTTGATTCACCGCTATCCGATCCTTTTACCTCCCAAGAGGTTTGTTGTACTGTCAAGTCCTTGAAAATGGGAAAATCCGCTGGTCCAGACTGCCTAACTAATGAACACCTTAAACGTGCAGGTAGATCATTGTTTGGTCATCTAACTACAATGTTCAATGTTATAATTAAATATGAACATATACCATCTTCTTATCACGTAGGCAAGATCTTACCAATTCACAAAGGTCATGGTAAGAGCAAGTCTGACCCAAACAATTACAGAGGGATTACCTTAACATCTGTCCTCAGTAAGCTCTTTGAACGCCTCCTGCTTATCAGAATTGAAAAGTGGGTAAACAGAAAGTGTGTTTTCCCGCATCCGTTACAATTCGGATTTCGCAAAAATGCAGGGGCTGAAACAGCCTGCTTCAGCCTCCTCGAAAACATTGCATATTATACGGAAAGAAAATCAGTTGTTTATTGTGCATTTCTTGATAACGCAAAGGCATTTGATAGAGTATGGCTTGATGGCTTATTCCTTAAGCTATATGACATGGGTATAACTGGTAAAACATGGCGTCTTTTGCGTAATGCCTACTCGTCCATGCAATCATATGTTACATACGCAGGCTACAGCTCAGATGTATTTTCTATCTATCAAGGTGTTGGTCAAGGACGTGTACTATCCGCCTGGCTCTTCACAGTGTATATCAATGATCTCATTTGCAAGCTTGATTGCTCTGGCTACAGCCTCCGCTTACCTTGGGGTCACTATCCGGGTCAACTGCTAGCAGATGATACAACCATTGTCAGTAGCTCTCCATCAGCACTGCAAAACCTGCTAGATATTGCTCACAACTATGCGTGTAGATGGCGTCTGGTTTATAATGTGAATAAAAGTGCAGTCGTAGTTTTTTCGCACTGTAAATATAATGTACCCGACCCTCATGTTTCCTGTGGAAAGATAGAATTGCCACACAAACATTTTGTAACGTTTGCTGGTGTATGCCTTAGTGACAGTATCTCAACACTCGAACGCTCGCGTATTGCATGTGAAAAACTGAAAAGACTTATTAATGTAAACCATAACAACGGCTTGTATTTCGGTGGGTTGAACCAAATTGCAGATGTGCGAATACTACAGAGAGTTATCTTGCCATGTGCCTTATATGGATGCAATGTATGGGGGCAACTTACTTGTAGAGAGTATGAATTGCTGGAAATACCACAGCGCTATTTCAGTAAAAAAGTACAGGGTCTTCCAAGACTTACACCAAGCGTAGTTGTATTGGATAATCTAGATCTTATTACCATTCAGGCCTACATTGATAAACAAGCTCTGCTCCTTTTTGGTAAACTGTGTCGATCTAGCTGCGACTTCTATTTCAAACAACTATTTATTGGCAGACTTGGGCAATACAAATGTCAACCAGATCTTGACAAAAGATGTTATAAATCTCCCTGTTTTAACATGCTGCGCCTTGTACATAAATAGGATCTTTTCCATGTCTTGAATGATTACATAGCTAATTGTAAAGTTCCCAGTAAATGTAAATGGACTAGTCTTGTGAATGAAAAGATAAGAAATGTAGACTCTGTTAGGCTATTGAAACAAATGTGCGACCTGTTAAAATATACTGGCATCAGATCAGAAGGTCAACACAGGATTTGGCAACTTTCTTTACGATTTCCTTCAAAGTTTTATGTTCTGTCTAATATGATCAAAATAGGATGCTCTAAGATTGAATCACGAGAATGTCATTGCGGAACTGTAGCTCATGACATAGTCAAACACATTTTTATGTCATGTACTATAAATATGCAAGAAATAAATGAAATGTTCGAAAATATCTTTGATATCACAGATGCGAATTCCTTTGTTGACCTTTGGTCAAATGATGATGATGTTATCATGTCTTTCCATTTAGGCGGGCTGCCTGATTACATGAAAAACCTTGAGCTTGAAATATGGGGCGAAACTATGTTACTAGTCTCTCATTACGTTAACAAGTGGCAACACTTGTTCATAACCCCTTCACCATGACATGTAACTATTTTGTTTAGTTTTTATTTCATGTATCTACAATGTATCTTATATAATGTATCTTCAGTACTCGAGGAAATAAAGACAATCTATCTATCTATCTATCATACTTTCAGCGCCTGGCAATTAGGCGAGTGACGTACATGTATTACGATGTGTCAAATACTGTTTGTGCAAATATAACGCCATATTTATTTCAAGGGCTATTATCTGGGTTTCCGTATTTGACAACCCACTCAAAACAATGGACTCAACCAAAGCCACTTCACTCAATATCTTTGCTTTGACCAAAGAGTTCTCCTTTTATTTTGTCATGGTTGGATTGAGATAACGCAGAATGTTAAATTGAAATTAATCTTACGAAATTGAAAACACAGCATATTTATTATCTCCTAAATGAAGTCATCAGTCACACCGAAATACAGTTGACAGCAGGACACAAAATCTTAAAACTTTTCTTTGTGTAGTTCGCTTGTAACTGATACCCTTGTTTATGGGGTCATGTACAGTGACAACATCATAGAATATTGTCTGATAATAATCCACACCTATAAGATAACAGTTATTCTACCATGAATCTATTAAATCACAATAAACCCCCTCTGACTGAAATAGCTGGTTTGACGGCCGCATCACCATGTTTGCTAATAATCATAGAATAATACTTTTTTCAGTCATTGTCGGTAGCATATTTAAATGGTTATACCTACAATAACAGGTTACAAATGGAATTTGGTGCTTTTCTATATACGACTGTGCCGTCATATCTTTTGCGTCACAATGAGCGATATGACGTCATAATGGTGACGTGCGGTGTAGAACGAAAGACGTTCAAAGTTTGGTCAGTTTTCTTTAGGGAGGCCCACCTCAAGTTAGCTTACAAAGTTTTAGTGTATATATGCTTTTAATGCACATTTTCGAGTGAAGTATTACAGTGTAAACAAACTGCTTGAACATATACAGCGCCATATTTGGCTCACAGCCTGTTGTCGGTGATTCGGTAATTCAGATCGACAGCCCCCTCAAAACACTGGACTCAACCCATGCCGTTTAGTACAATATATGTGCTGATACCAAAGAGTTCGCGGTTTATTTAGTCATGGTAGAATGGTGATAAACATACTGTGTTTTCAATGCTGCGTGTTCGGTTCCAAATTCTAATTAGCGCGTTAAAGTCTATAGGTAACCTAGCTCTACATTGTTTATTTCCTAAATATCCGTTACACTGTTCCATCCTTATGTGGTACAACCTGAAACACAACTGATATCGCCTTCAGGAATGCATTTCAAGATCCGAACACATCAGGGGATGCATCCCTGAAATACATTTTCAGACAGAAAAAGAATCATTTTGTAGATGGTAAACAGTAGTGGCAGTTACTTTATAGTTATTTGTTGAAACTATTATATCCCTCCTGACTCGTCCCCGACTTCAGGAAGGTACTTCGGATTTACAGATGATTTGTGCCATATATTGTAAATTTACGAATGAATACTCTCTCTGGAAAAATATATATAAGCACATGTGTTTTATTGTTTCATTGTGTAGGACATGTCCAAATGAGCATATTCCCTGTTAGACAATGTCAAATCCTGTATGTGTTTTAATTTGTACAGGTTGCCTGACTTAGCGTATATCCTGCAGGATAATGTCACACCTTGTATGTATTTTATTTTGTACATCTTGCCCAAATAAGCATACATCCTGCAGGATAATGTCACACCTTGTATGCGTTTTATTTTGTACAGCATGTCCGAATGAGCGTATATCCTGCAGGATAATGTCACACCTTGTATGTATTTTATTTTGTACATCTTGCCCAAATAAGCATACATCCTGCAGGATAATGTCACACCTTGTATGCGTTTTATTTTGTACAGCATGTCCGAATGAGCGTATATCCTGCAGGATAATGTCACACCTTGTATGCGTTTTATTTTGTACAGCATGTCCGAATGAGCGTATATCCTGCAGGATAATGTCACACCTTGTATGTATTTTATTTTGTACATCTTGCCCAAATAAGCATACATCCTGCAGGATAATGTCACACCTTGTATGCGTTTTATTTTGTACAGCATGTCCGAATGAGCGTATATCCTGCAGGATAATGTCACACCTTGTATGTGTTTTATTTTGTACGGCTTCCCGAATAAGCGTATATCCTGCAGGATAATGTAACACCTTGTATGTGTTCTTATTTTGCACGGCTTCCCGAATGAGCGTATATCCTGCAGGATTAAGTAACACCTTGCATGTGTTTTATTTTGTAGAGCATGTCCGAATAAGCATATATCTTCCAGGATAATGTCACACCTTGTATGTGGGTTTTCTTTTACGGCTTGCCCGATTGAGCATACATCCTGCAAGTTAAAGGTACATACCAAACGGCTGGCCCTTCTGCCTCTCCTGTAATTCTACAGATTTGTACATTGTACTGTGCACATGTATTGACCGTATTTGTATACCTATCAAGCGTGTGTAGTTTCGACTTTATATAAAACAAATATGTCAACACTTCTACTCATATAATATTGCCTGTTGATGTAACATATGTCAACCTATTCCTTGACAATGGCGTTCCCCCGTTGAATCCTGGCTTATAGCTTCAATCAAACCAATCTATAAAAAGTAAAGGAAGTTAAGCTGACCCTGACATTGCAGGTTCAGACAGACAGAAAGTTTAGTCTCGTTTCACCTCCATACAGTTCTAAAAAATATAAAATTATAATACATTATATATACAGTGTATTGAGCCACATTTTTTAGTTATGAGAGACGTAAAAGTCAGTAAAATCTGATATTTCTTTTGCTTTCTGGTTTAATCGTTCACGG